CTCTGTTCTGCAGAGTAGCTGTTGACATTATAGTTGCGCAGGTACTTTGTTGACTCTAGAGAACCTCGGGACAATCGCACATCCCTGTGACGGCGACTTTGCATTCGGATGTCATTCATATCAACTTTCGATGTCAGTTTCTGCGCCTACCATGGTGACCACGGGTAACGGGGAATCAGGGTTCCATTCCGTACAGGGACCCTGACAAACGGCTACCACATGCAAGGAAGGCAGCAGACGCGCATATGACCCACTCCCGACGTGGGAAGGTAGTGACGACAAATAACAATACAGGACTCTTTAGAGGCCCTGTAATTGGAATGAGTCCACTTGAAATCCTTTAACTCTGATCAATTGGAGGGAAGTCTGGTGCAGAGCCACTGACCCGTGCGTGCTGCAGCTGAAACTCCACTATTGCCTGCTGCTGCTTGCACAGTCTCAAGAGGTGGTGAGTGGGAAGGCCGAAGTTATGCTGCAGCACAGACAGGTGAGCAGCAGCAGGGTGAGAACGCCAAAAGCGCGCACAGCCACTACAGTGAATGTCACATCCTGTTCCAAGTTGCAGATCAGTCTGGTGATGGCTTCTGGTATCCAGTACTCTTTTTACTAAAGCTGCATCAGGGTCCTGGTATATGGCCACACAAACGCTGGTGCTCAACACCAGGGGGCATGCGGTTACCCTGCACCAGACCCTGCTAATCCATTCCACATTGTGACTCAACATCAGGCATACTGGTCCCGGTCACCGGAGTGCCCACCTGACTGTGAAACTACAAATGGATCATTAAATCTGGTACGAACCCAAACTTTGCAGTTGGCGGTCACTCAATCTTTTGATCGCTACATGTATTACTTGGATAACTGGTCATTCTCAAGCTAATACATGCCAACAAGCGTTAGGGGACGGCCGCTCCGCTTTTGCACCCTGCTCCCTCTTATGCTGTGCTGGTGCCTCTGCATGGCTTGACTGGTGTGCAGATTTTTGTTTAACATTGTATTAACTATCCACAGACTTCAGGTGGAAGGAGTTTTCAGTCACAATTTTTCCCCACCATAACCTATTTGGATTTTGCTTCTCATATTTGTGAGAAGCAAAATCTGCACACCAGTCAAGCCATGCAGATTTGTGATTTCTGTTGGAAAAGCAAGTCTTATGGCTTGACTGGTGTGCAGATTTTTGTTTAACATTGTATTAACTACATATATGATTAGAGTTGAGCGAACCCGGACTGTAAAGTTCGGGTTCGTACCAAACAGGCTTTTGGACCCCGGACCCGAACACGGACATATTACTGTATGTTCGGGTTGGAGTTCGGTGTTCGGCTATGTAATGGCGCGTTTTCAAAGGCTGCAGGGCAGCCAATCAACAAGCGTTTGACTCGTGTGCCCTTAGAAGCCATCACAGCTAAAAAGTACATTAGTGGGGTGCACTTCATATCTGAGAGTCAAATAGAAGCGTCAAATACTGCTGTATAAATATGAGAAGCAAAATCCAAATAGGTTATGGTGGGGAAAAATTGTGATTAAAAACTCCTATATATATAGGAGTTTTTTATACTGAGATGCTTGCACTCCTGGATTAGAGAGTAATTGCCCAGTGCTGGTCAGGCACAGGATACAAAAAAATGATTGGAAATGACTGCACTCCAAGGACTTGATGATAGTAAAAATAAAATATAACTTTTATTCTATATCATTTAAAAATATTGATGTTCCAGCCCCAATTCATGGGCTTTGCCATCCTGATGAAAGCCCATGTATTGGGGCTGAAACATCGATATTTTTAAATTATATAGAATAAAAGTTACATTTTATTTTTACTATCATCAAGTTCTTGGAGTGCGGTCATTTCCAATCATTTTTATATATATGTAGAAAGGCCATTAGGCCTGAATTTGTGGGAGGAGTAAGTCCCCTACTTAAGCTCCCAGCCCCTACTCACCGCTGCCGCTCAGCTGATTGTCCAGCACTTCCGGTCCAGCTTCCCGCCAGAACTGTACCTGTTTCCAGCAGCCAGACGCCCTGTGCAAATCCTCCGTCCGTCCGAGGCCCCTTCCACTCCGTTTCTCTCCGGTCGAGGTACCCGACTTCCGGTCACGAGACCGGCGCGTTCACGTAAGCAAGGCGGGGGAATTAGCGTTCGGGCCTAAAAACATAGGGGTAGGCTCCCTCCTTTTCGCATTTTCACGAATACACGCTGTTCGTTAATATCTCCATTCGCGCCAAAAAACGCACGAACGTTCGGCTCATTTCGCTATCATTTAATGCATTTTCGTACGGAAACAACCGAATAAATATTCATGTTTAAGCTCATTATTATCTGCATTCACTTTTCCGTTCGGTTATTTCAGCACCAACCTACTCGTATGGTTAAATTCACGAACACCATCTTACTAATTTACATTCGGTTATTTCTATTCTTTTAAGCTAAGATTGCATAAGTTCTAATCACAGTCCTACTATTATTTATTCCTTCATATCAGTTTGCGGTTACATTATATGGTTAACTACCAGCCCTGTGTTTTCCTACCTTGTTAAACCATTTAAAGTATTTTTCTGTAATATACATAATGTTCATCACGGCTCATAACTTCATACGTGTCTAAATTCAAGCTATACCAATCTTTCCTAATAACACTCAGATAAGTCTTTTTAAACACTATTTACAAGTTATACCCTTTACACATAATCCGTACTATTCCTTGCACATAAATCACGCTGTCACATTTTTTGGCTTTTACAGATTGCATCGGTCTCTTGCTTTTCTGCATTAAAGTTGTTATTCCAAGGTCCTTTTATTACAGGAACAGGTATGGTTTATTATCACCTTGAGTTATCAGGTTTTATCAATTATCTTCACATCTATTGCTAACTATGGAATTTCTCTCGGTTAAACCCTTAGATCCTGTATTAATCTAAGATTCCACCGTTTCCACGCAGTTAACCTGCCACGATTAAAACAATCTCTGTACTTTAATCAAAGGTATAGTTCACTCTCTTTTCAATACTAGACCTCACGCGGTCTCAACTCCATTACTACCTTCCCTCAGGCTTACGCCCAGGATACGTTATCTCTTTACTACTTGTCTACACAGACTTTCGGTCATACGGCCACCAGGCTCAAGAAGACACCAAATCCTGACACGGTACACAGCCATACCTTCAGGTACTTACATCCTTACTCAAGTACGTCCATTCGCTACCCCAAGGCCTCATTCTGCCTTCTCAATCATATCCAAAATCATCCCATTCCTACACCTAAACCTCCCAGATCCCTCAATGCAGGATCTCACGTCGTGCCCCTAACAAACCTTCTCCCTATACTATTCATACGACATCACGATACGTATAAACACATCAACATCTGTCTTAAACCCCCAGGATTCTTCCTCAAAGACAACATTAAGACAAGACTCTCTACACTTACCAGGAGGCTCCAGATACCATTTGCGACCAGTCAAGGTTAGTATCCACACACCATTCCAGTCCTCTAACTTTACCCTTTAGCATACTATCGAACTGGCTATACGGCACAGGCTAATGCCTTAGCCCACCTTATCAGGAAATCTGATCCCGCGAGGCCTACCACCCCCACCCCACCTCAACACGGAGGTACGGCCCCACGCCCAAATCATAGTTATAAGCCTCGCATGCCTTACTATAGGGCTCTAGTTAGGGCCTCACCTGTCACGGCCACACGTTTTGATTTCTCTTATCGTCACCGAGAGGCCAACATCCCGCCACCACGTCTGTGGCACCTACGTCATAAGCCAAATCATAGGTAGAGCCTCTCATCGCCACTTGGCATTAGCAGGGCCTCACCTATCCAGTCATTCAATAGTTAAGTTTTTCGCCTCGGCATCTAGCATTAAAGTCCAGTTCTTCAAGACACACCACTCCCCATACCCCCCCCTTCTTACCTCACTCCCCTTCTAATATATCTTTCACATAATCATTCCTTTTTAGAATGTCCCAAGAACCAATTCCAACCGAAGAACTGACAGAAGAAGCACCATTCACGCCAATCAGACCCGTGTCTCCAGGCGAATCACTCACTCTTTCAACCCCCACGTCCTTGAGAGCATGGACTATTCCCAAAATCACAGCCGAGCTTAGGCTCAGGGGAATCCCCTTTCCGGCCACAGCTAGAAAGGCAGAACTTTACAGGCTGCTTACCCACCAAGTCCCCGAGCCTCGGCCGGGAACTAGCTCTCAAGGACAACCACCAAGTACCAGCACGGCCACCCAGGATACCCTGGCAGATATCTTGGCCAATCTACAGGCCCTCAATAGCAGGCTGTCTAAGGTGGAAAGCGCCATCTCCTCCTCAGGTACTAACACCGTAGTCCCAGTCTCTACCACGGCTGTACCTGCCATACCTTCATGTCCCTCTATACTCCCCCCTCCAGCACCTGGCACAGCCATCACACCTTTCGAGTCACCAGCACACTCCGTCCCAGATTCTATCAGGAAAGATATCCTTGACGGGAAGGATGTGTGTCTGGTGTCTTTACTCATAGCCTCTCAGGATGTACTCGAGAACAAGGCATACAATTATGGTGACATCTCTGTTGTGCTTAAAACGAGGGATCCCAGGCTTAATAAAAAATTGTCTATCCCACAGTTTGTGATAGCTTTCGGGATATACCGCGACGTCATTTGCACGGTGTATCCCCATAGGAGAGAAGAGCTAGATCTCTATCTCCACAAGGTAGTGGATCTAGGCATCAAGTACGGGGGCTCTTCCTTCTATGACTACCACAAGTCAGTCTCAGCGAAGGCGGCGACCCATCTCAAGCAGTTCAACATTAGAATGAACTGGGGTCAGATGGACACTGAACTTTTCTGTCGCCACTTCGCCGGACTCAGGCCCCCGGCTTGTGCCATCTGTAATTCCACATCCCACATGGCGGACTTATGTCCCGTCGAACCAGATCCCACCACCTCCACTCTCACCCCTCACCCCACGTTCACACCTCACTCCTCTTTCACCCCTCACAAGCCAGCGGGTGGTCTCCGGGATAAGCTGGGTAGGCCCATCTCCTTTTTAGGTAAAGCACAGGTGTGCAATAATTTCAACGCAGGCTCCTGCAGTTTCAGCGCCTGTAGACTATTGCACATCTGCTCCATATGTTTCAGGGCACATACCAAGACCATGTGTCCAGCCAGGTTGTCACCAAACAAATGACTAACCGACATTAATATCGACAACCTGGTTTTTTATCTAAGGTGTCACCCCAGCAGGCACTTAGTGGATTTTCTCACCACAGGTTTCTCACAA